CTCCCTAATCTGGAATCGCCGAAGTCTTGACGAGTCCGGATTAATGACTTTGTACTGTATACATTTTATATGAGAGAAATAAGAATAGCTTTATAGTTTCAGCCTGAAAAATCGAAATCATAAAAATAGTTAGGTTATCTGAAAGCTTTTTGCTTTTATTTGTAGAAGAGATAAATTTGTTCATTATGTTTCTCAATCTGGCTTATCTCTAGACATTAGATTCTGTACGTACTGATGGCATGAATATCTTGATTTCATGGTAGAGAACTGCAGGTAAATTTGAAGTTGGATGTTCAAAATAGATTAGTGTAGCATTTGTGAAATACAGTACAAAGTCCGTAATCCGGACTCGTCGGGACTTTGGCGATTCTTGATTAGGGGTTTTTCCGGATTATAGATCATCAATTTAAATCTGGTAAGATGGCATGCAGAAATTATACTATTAAAAATATGAAACCGTAATTTATGAAATAAAAAGCAATTATTTTCTAAAGGGTATCAAATTTTACAAAAAAAAAAAAAAAAAAAAGGCTTAATATTTATTTGTGGTACTATTCGGTTTCGAGGACCGTAAAAAATCGCCAAACTGTTGTTGATGCCAATGCTGCCAAAAATAATTGCGGCAACCCTAATAATTGCAGCAAGAACGGAAGTATAATAGTAAATAACTATTTAAGATTGATGTTTTAATCTAGATGAAAGGTTAATTTCATATAATACATTTTTATTATTATAATTTATATGAAAAAGGCTAAACGTGACTGGAAGCATAAGACTAATAACTATTTCAGATCTTATTATTATATAAAACTGAAAACTAAAAATTTATATAAAAACATAACTGAATGGATGCCTGCATCGCTATTTCGCTACCGACTTATCGCTAAAGCATAATTTCATTTCATCTCGTTGGTTGTTCAAACGTAATTTTCTATAATGAATGATGCCTTTTCTTTGAAAATATTCTCGGTACAGTGCAGAATTTGCTCACTTATTTGGTTTGCCGCTTTTTCCAATCATAAAAACAATTGGATTTTTGTCAATTTTATTTTACTTTTTAAGTGAAAATAGGTCGATGTGTACATAGATAAAGCCAAGGGTGTGCGCACTGCTATTTTTGTGCAATTCTGGGATTTTTTTTAAAGTGAAAATAGGTCGATGTGCACATGGATGCCGAGTATGTGCAATTCTTAAAAACGCTTCAAGCAGTGGGTGATTCTGCACTTTACCCAAAATTCTATTGGCGACTTTTCATCATGGTCAATTCCCAAATTGTTAAATCCATAGGATATTAAAAAAGGATTTAAAAATTAAACTAGTATTTCCATGTCGTCTTAAGAAATATAGAACTACATAAACTTACGCAATCTGAAATCAGCGCATACGCTAGATTTGGCGGGGCGCGTTTGCTAGATTTGGCGCTTTTGCGCATACATTTTCGCTGCAATTTTTTACGGTCCTCAAAACGGAATAGTACAGTCAAAAGTCGTTAATTCGGAATGATCTATAATCCGGACATCAAAACTAAAAACTTTCTGCGCATGCGCCGCGTTGACACATGCGCAGAGGCGTTCACGCGTGCGCGTAAGACCTTTTACGACTGCGCATATGAGTGTGCGCAAGTGCAGAATACGTTTTCGCGCGCGCATTTTATGTATAATGGACGTATAAGCTAAATAATTATCTATTTCAGTTAATGTTGATGATTGCGTTGTTCCTTAATTTTCGAATTGCAATCCGGCTTATTATTTTTTGCAGACTGTAAGAGCAATTTTTTAAAAGTAAGCTTAAACTTTCGATTATATCAAATAGAATTTCCGATATATATTTTGTTAATATGTAAAGGATCTAAAGCGAAAGTATGTTTTGAAATCCGAAATCTGTTTATCAATTTCACGCTGCTCGACGGCGGGGCGCGTAATGAATTGGAAGTTGATTTGTCAGCACTATCCTTATCTTCAGCGCAGAGATGTTTTTTATTTTATTTGGCTTATAATTCCTTACCAAATGTAGTATTTCATCTCGATATGCTTTCGTCTTTGATATGTTTTTAAAAACAAGTTCCTCGTCATTATAATTCGCTTCCGATAGCGAAGAAAAGTGACAGAGGTTATTGAAAACAAAAAAATTTCGATTGACAAATTAGTCGGTATTCTTGACACAGCAATTATAGGACTTGAACGGCGGAACTTTGTAACTGAACAAGAAATTATGTCTGTTTAATAGAATTAAAGAGAAAGTATTATCACATGAAACGAAGCAAAAACTTAAACAACTTACATTGAAAGAAATGTTTAATAAAGTAAACAAATAAATATTAAGCTTTTTCTTTTTGCAAATTTTGATACCCTTTAGATCATAATTGTTCTTTATTTCATAAATTACGGTTTCATATTTTTAATTTTATAATTTCTGCATGCCATCTTACGAGATTTAAACTGATGATCTATAATCCGGAAAAATCGATAATCCGGAATCGCCGAAGTCCCGACGAGTCCGGATTAACGACTTTTGACTGTACCTTATTTGTTTACTTCATTAAACATTTCTTTCAACTTGCATATGCATAAAGTGTGTGCACATAATGTATGTGCATTCTCTATGCACATGCGTAATGTATGTGCATTCTCTACGTGCATGCGTGCAAGTTCTTGGCTTTGAGGTCCGGATTATAGATCATTCCAAATAATGGACATCCGGATTATAGACTTTGTACTGTATTGCTGTCAGTTGAGCTCCGATATTACAAATAGAATGCAAAATCTCTCACAGACTATACAAATCATTGTTCTAGGATAAGGCATGATACCTATCTGAATTTTTGAACCTTGAACTTTTAAATCATTTAAAATTTGCCATTCATTGGTCACATACAACAGTGATAATGTCGAATGACAAATCCATAGGGCTTGTTTTGTCCACTCAATAGTTTTGATAATAGTGCATTTGCCAAGATACTAATGAAACCAATGAATGGCTGTGAAATTTTCGGTGGAAAAGTGAGAACCAGTCAGTTCGACTGAGTCAGTAAAGGATTCGCTTGGCCTGACACTGAAGTTTTTTTGGACTGATTGTACATAAAGATACTTGCAAATATATCGTAGAATTTGAATCGCACAATTTAAAATATGCCAGCATGGTTGATGTCAAAACTGCTGAAAGAGTTGAAACAAAATGGTTCAACTAATAGAGAAACAGAAAAATTGACGTACGAGAATGATTTAAAAAGTAGAAATTTTCACTGACTGGGAACCTGAAATTATCTGTAAATTTCTCGTCAAGTGTTAAATTATGTAACTATAATTAACTATCGTGTAACTTCTTTTCTCCCAATCTTTCAAAAATTATGTACCTCACACAATTTTCCTTTAAATTTGAAAAGGTCTTTACACTAAGAAATTACCTTAATTTTGATTACAGAGTGAAACACGTTTATACAGTAAAACATGTTTTCATAGTAAGGTTGGGATAATATAAAATGAAGGAATTCACATGTAAATGGGGTGTTTTCAATTATGGGTTTGCATATAAGTAATTTTTTTAATCAATTCTGTTATTAATACCTGAAATATATTACGCACTAATTTTCAAAAAACAGTATTTGTTTAAATAAAACTTTTTCTAATTTTTAAAACTAAAGTATATTATTCCAGGGTACTTTTCTGTTTTGCCATTGCCAATCATGCCAAGTAGACGTTATTGGCGACAACATACAGTATACACATACAAAATTTTAACAAATGTTAGTTCTAATATTTTTTTATTTTGAAGCCATAAACATTTTAGTGTTAAAATTTTGTAAAAAGACATTAATTTAAGAATTTACTATGCTTTCATAGTTCAATATCCTGATTCGGCAGTTCGTATCACGTGACCCCAAGTGATCTCATTTCACGTAAACTACGCTACAAAAATCTCAGTAATTATCTACATTAATTTCAAGTTAAATCTTAATTTGGAATACAAGTTTATATGTAAGAATTATTTCTATTCGTACTAATAGCTTACTGAGAAATTATGTAAAACCACAGTACTTTACTTCGCTAGTTCATTTTCATTAGAATTGATGAATTTAACCCTTCACTTTGCCTTTTCTATATTTTCGCCATCATGTGAGCGGTGTGACTGCATCCTAATTAATTATCGTGAATGGCCTTAGGTCATAAATGTGAACTATCTGGTAAAAATTATATGTAATTGTATGCCAATATTGAAAGAAACAATCAATCTGATAAGAAATGGCTGCAACTTGTTTTGAAAATGAGGCGTAAATGGTTACCATCGAGGATATTCCGTTTGGTATCAGTTGTACCATTATTAGTGACATTATCACTTGCGCCGACAAAACAGAAAAGTATCCTACTTCAGAAAATAGTTTTTCAGGTTTGTGTTTTATTCTGCAGATATTTTGATAAAGAATTGATTGTAAATTGGGAGCACTTACATAATTGGACATTATAATAAGAACAGTTTATAATAAAATGAATAAATTGAACTAGGTATATTCTAATTTGCTGACAGTTTTCTTCCATAAATAGTGAATTTTTAACTGCTATATAAAAAATTAAAATTTCAGCACTCCTGTAGAGCTTAATTTTAAAGGTCCATTGAGTTTTAAATTTTAATCATTTCTGTTGCAATAAGCAGCGGTTTTTTAACATTCCTTGTATGGAAAAATATTTTTTAAGATTTAGCTGTTACTGATAGCATATATACCCGTACAAATAAAAAAATATGGAGAAATTTGACTGTGAAAAAAAAGATTGAGACCAGATAAATCTAAAAGTATAAAACTAGTTATAAAATAATCAAATAGTTGGTGGAATTTTATAACATTATGTTAATATAAGAATATAATCGAAATAATTATTGTAAGCACTTTATAAAGACGCATATAATTCTGTGATGTAATTTAAAACCATTATTTTAAAATTTGAATATTTTTTTGTAAAAAGTAAGTTATATACTATAATGTAAAAAAATGACATTTTGTATAACAGAAGTTTATGTTTCCTTCCATGAGCTACTGAGTAGTCTGACCCTGTGCACTCAAGGCCTTTTTCACTGGGGCGAAGCAGTAACTCGAGATGAATTTGGTTGTAATTTTTCTAAAGGTATATTTCTTTTTTCAAGCAAATGCTATGTTGACACTAACTAAACTATTTTAAGATTTGGCTTAAGAATGCGAGGCAAGCCTGGTCCATTAAAGTACTTCAAATATTCTTATTTGCAGTACTTTCATGGACCAGGCTTATCGCACATCATAAATAAGCAAATCAAGTTCCAAAACGCCATAATGGCGGTACAGCGCACATCAAGTAAATACATCAAACCTCCTGGGTGCAGTAACACTGCTGCTCGAGCACATAGAACTAATTTCAGAACAATTGCAATTTAAAATTTTTCCTCAATGAGGAAAAGCATCTAGAAGTCTAGTCACTAATTTCTACATTTCCATTCCTTTTGTCAAATAAATAACACTTCTGAGAATCATTTAAGTACACACAAGGATCTTTGTTGCCAGCATGGAGTGATTTCTTAAAAGTAGGTAAAGCATTAAGTTCAAGGAAACCCTGACCTTTCAAAGCTTTTGCAGCTGCCAAAGCCCTTGGCCCAAAAGATTAATAAATTGCATTAAAGAATAATCTAAATTTAAGTAAATGTCGGAGCCCAGCTCTAGTACTTCTTGATTTTTGGGATAAATCATAATTCTAGGTGGAGCGCACTGGAGCCCTAAATAAGAAGGCTCCGGCACTTCTTTTATGTAACTGGAACAACAATTTCAGTAGAAATTTGATCTAAAAAAAATTTTGTTTTTTGCAATAAAATTATATTAAAAATCGCTTATTAAGTTTTAGTTTGTCTTTACATTTCATTTAATTACCTTAATCTTTAATTATTTAAATAATTAATCAATTTTTAATTAAATAATTATTTATTAATATTAATTATGAATTAATCTGATAATTATTAACTATTTAATCTTAAAATTATTAATGATTTTAATGGTAATTTTATTTATTTATTTACTTTTGTTCCTCTTTGCTGACGGTCTTCCATAGGGCTCTGGCACTTCTAATTTTTGAAATTAAGCCCTGGTAAATGTAAATGTATTTTTCGAGACTTGGAAAGGGGGACGGGGCCAAACAGGTTGAGAAACACTGCTCTAAGATGCTCTTTGTAAACGTCACCGAGAACAGATGAACAAAAAATCAGATTAACTTATTCAGATAGTCTACTCATGCTGTCCAAAAAATAAGTAACTACTTTGTGTATGTTTTCAAGAAAATATAAAAATAGCTGTTCCCTTTCTCTTAAACTTCTCGTATTTTGACCTTGCATAATGAAGACAATAAAATATAAATAATTTCTATTAATTTTCTTAATTTTTTAATTTTTATTACAGAGAAGTCAGAGTTAGTTATTGGTATTTTATCAGCACCTGAGAACTTTGCTCAACGTGAAGCTGCACGATCTACCTGGTTGAAAGATTATGCATCTGACAAAAAAAACTCTGTTAAAGCTTGGTTTGTGATTGGAAATCACTTTTGCAAAATACCTCCTGATTACAGACTGAGTAAATATGGATGTGAGAAATGGAATGTGAATATATCAGGTATTTTAAAAATACCTTCTGTTATAAGTATGTCATGTTTTTAATGATTACAATCACAGTGTCTGACCTTTTAATGTATATACAGTTCCTGCCACTTAATAAAATCATGGTACTGTTCAGTATTGGGATCAGATTCAGAAATGTATGCACATGTGTATGTACGAGGGCTATCCAGAAAGTAGATTACGTTTTGGAATAAAAAAATAAAGTATAGGAAACAAATTTTATTATATACAGATGAAAGCCACACTCAAATACTACTTTTCTACATAGTCACCATACAAATTAAGGCATTTATCGTAGCGATGTACGAGCTTGGAAATACCTTCGTCGAAAAATTCGGCCGCCTGCGCCTTCAACCACTTCGTTACCTCTTCTTGCAGCTGTGCGTCGTCATCAAAACGCTGCATAGCCAGCCATTTCTTCATTGCTGGGAATAGGTGGAAGTCACTCGGTGCCAGGTCGGGACTGTACGGCGGATGAGGAAACAACTCCCACTTAAAAGATTCAAGAACTTTACGAGTGACATTTGCCGTGTGGGGCCGGGCGTTGTCGTGAATCAACAAGATCTTAGAGCTCAACATTCCTCCTGCGCTTGTTTTGAATTGCTCTTCTGAGTTTTTGGAGAGTTTGGCAATACCTTTGAGAGTTTATTGTAGTGCCTCTTTCCAGGAAGTCCACCAAAATTACAACCTTTTCTGTCCCAAAAACAGTCGCCATCATCTTCCTTGCCGACATTGTTTGCATGCATTTCTTGGGTTTTTGGGGAGAACTTGTGTGCCCCCACTGCATTGATTGCAATTTCGTTTCACAGTTCACATGTTTCACCCATGTTTCGTCACCAGTAACGATGCGATCGAGTAAAGAGTCACCATCCTTATGGTAAGCGTCCAAAAAGTTCAACGCTGCAGCCATTTGCTGATTTTTGTGGTCCTCTGTCAAGATTTTTGGAATCCATCTTGCACAAAACTTGTGGTAACCAAGCTTTTCGCTGATGATTTCGTGCAACAAACTTCGCGAAATTTGTGGAAAACTCAAGTTCCGTTATTGTGAAATTTCGATTTTCACGGACTTTAGCATCGACTTTTTCGAGAAGTTCGGCGGTCACTATGCTGGGTCTCCCACTTCGATCTTCGTCGTGAACATTGGTTCGGCCATTTTGAAATCTTATGACCCACTGACGCACTCCACCTTCAGTGATAATGTTGTCCCCATACACACTTCACGAAGCTGCCGATAGATTTCTATCGGTTTACAGTTTTTTGCAGTCAGAAACCTTATTACTGAGCGCACCTCGCAGCTCGCGGGATTTTCAATTAACGCAGACATTTCAAACCGTCACAGTATCTGAACGGAGCACAGCACGAACCTCTCACTAGCACGGCTAGATGCAGACTGAGCTGCGCAACGCTCTGACCCCAAGATGGCCGCGCTAGCTCCGCCCCTAGCGGACACAGACGGAAACGTAATCTACTTCCTGGATGGCCCTCGTATGTATGTATGTATGTGCATATATGTGTATATACACAAGCATTTGTACTTACATATATTACATGCATACATGAACACATACATCCATATAAACATGCACATACATTTCTGAATCCAGTCCTGGTAACAGAGCAGTACCAAAATCACTTTCATTCCAAGCATATTTGAGTTTAATAGATGACAATTTGAATACTGCAAATTGTGGCAAGTTTTAAACTTGTCTAATAAAATAATAACTAGCAATTAATTCAGTAATTAATTCCAAAATATTAATTTAAAATTATGGTAAAAGTATAGTTTAGGGTACCCCTTGGCGAAACTTGGTAATTTTTGGGGGTACATGGATACCGATTTTGTGCAATTCTTTGACTCGTTATTTTGGCTCGGCGCTACACAATGCTAAAATAACAAGACAAACAATTGCACAAATTTGGTATCCATTTACACATCGACTTATTTTCACTTAAAAAAAAAAAACTCGGAATTGCACAAAAATGGCATTGCTCACTCCTTTGACTTTATCCATGTACTCGTCGACCTATTTTCACTTAAAAAAAAAAAAATCCCCGAATTGCACAAACTTGCATTGTGCACTCCCTTTACTTTGTCCATGTACACATTGATATATTTTCACTTAAAAAGTCAAAGGAGCATCAAAGTCTAGAATATAGGCAAACAAAAAATACATAATCTCAATAAAATACATTTTAAACTAAACAATAAAATAACATAAAAAATTAAAAACATGTTATACGTTTAAGCACTACCAAAAGCGAATATCCACATACCATGATTTTCAAGTTCGCTTCGTACACCAGAGCCACGTAAAAATCAAAATATCAATCGTACTCAAATGACTTTTTTCAAACCAGGTACTCTTTTTGATCGAACCCTTCACATAGTGACCATCTGAACCTTTCTTCCTACAAATCCATCTACTAAACGGTTTTAACACACACCATAAAAACACTTACAAAACATCCCATGATTCAAAATTTCCCAGAATCATGCACCCGATTATGTCACAATAGGGTTTCCATAACATTCAACTACTCAGGCTACCATAATTGAAACAACAACTTGGCGATAAATCAAACAACAACTTCGCCATAATACAAGGGGTACCTTAAAGTCTACTCTACCCAAAATTATACTAAAATAAAACTGTTTGCAGAATTTTGAAATTTATTGTTATTTTTTAATAAAAATATTTTCATAATTATGCGTTTGATGAATTTCACATTATGCACTGGATGGAATTTTTATTATGTACAATTGTTTTATCTTATTTTCATATTATTCATCAACAGTTTTTCAACAGTGTTATTAGTTTTGAAAAACTGCTGATGGCTTTTTTGATCAGCTTTGAGTTCAAGAATGTATTAGTTTTACAGCTTGAAACCATTCTAAGAAAGCATTTCCAATGTCTTCTGATGTTAAATCATTTTTGCACTTCCTTGAAACATTTGTATTCTTTGTTACTCTTCATCAGTTACAGTTCTTTATTAGTTCTTCATTATTAGTGATGGGCAACTTAGGTACTTTCTTGAACCCAGTACAAGAGTAACCGTTACTTTGAAAAGTACCGAAAACCGATTTCAAGTACCGAGTACCCAAGTAACGATTTGGAGTAACGAAATACTACTGTACCGGAGTACCCTAGTAACGGTTTGCTGTACCGGAGTACCCTAGTAACGATTTGGAGTACTGAAGTACCCTAGTAACGATTTGGAGTACCGAAGTGCCCTAGTAATGATTTGGAGTACCGGAATACACAGCTAACGATTTTGCGCACTGAAGGAACTAAGTGCAATATCGCCTAATGATTCTATTAATCAGGCATGAAAGAGCAAAAAATGCAAAGGAAAAAAAGGGAGGGACATGTATGTTTACATAAACATGTCCGGATAATTTCCGGTGTTCCATTCGATAGTTTTTCCCCCCTCAAATAAGCTCCAGAGGGAGTTAAAAAAAAAAGAAAAAGAAAAAGATTCGGATTGCCAGGTCAAAGTTTACCTCTCTTCCTATCGGAGAAGCGTGGTCACGTCCTTGGGGGTAAAGCAGGCGTTGACAATCCTGCATTAGGCACGTGACCTGGGTTTAGTTTTTGGCGAGATGAAAATCTGTTTTTAGAAAGGGGATATCAGAAGAATTATCATAAGTGGGTCAGTTATCTTTGTTTCTTTCATTAGAAAAGTTTAAAATTGCGTCTGTATTTTATGTTGATTGGCTTAGTGATCCACTAGATGCTGTGACATTTTTTTCTGAAGTAGGTACAGCGGGATAAAAAAGGATCATATTTATTTAAAAAAGGATCATATGATTTACGTTGCCCTATTAAGCAAGCAAACGAAAAATATTCTTCATGATTTATGCTAAAAATATGTTGAGGAAAAGGAAATAATCTAGTTGGTAGTTGATTCCATTCACCAATCCAACAACAGCAACTTACCAAATCAATCATTTCAGATCCACGCAGTTTTTCTCCTACAAACGATGAAAAATCAAAACATGCACAATTCGGATTGCAAATCATCTAGCGCTCCCCTCCCTTTCCCTCCTGACTATACCGACTCCAATCACAAGCGAGCAATGCCGGCGACAGTGACTCCAACTGCTACTATCCCCCCCTACATACACACACACAATGAATGGCCTTTCAAAAAATTTCCACTATTTCACACTCGTCCTCCCGCGCACACAAAGGCAATTAATTATACTACTCTCAAACTCTAGTTTGAGGAGTCTAACTATACTCCTCAAACTCTAGACAAACGAAACGGAAGTTCCCCCCTTTCACGTTTGCCATTCCATGCCCTATTTCATGCAATGGTCATTCATGGACACAAGGAACACATACCACCATTTCACAAATACAACTAGATACTATTGTCCTCGTACCAAAATTGAAGTGAGCTAAACCGTCATCGATCCTCCAGTAATGAATACCGAGAAGAGACACATATTTTCGTTACAAAGTAGCGAATACCGAAAAGTACACGTTTCGGTACAGAAGTAACGAATACCGAAAAGTACCGATTTCAGTACTGAAGTAACGGGTACTTGGATGTACCGATTTTCAGTACCCATTACAAAATACCCGGTTCGGTAGTACCGACTCATCATGATTCATTATTCATAATTCTACACTTAAGTAAATTTAACAGTACAGTTTTATTGCCACTGTAAATGCAGTTTTTCTGTGGCTGCACTTTAAGAACATCAAGATCTTTTAACAATTTACCATTTTCCTTAAAATCTTTGTACTTAAGCACTTTTAAAATGCTACACATTAATTCCACAAAATATTGTAAGAAATGCTTCACCTAGTGATTTATTCAATTTCAAACTGCATGTTTCTAGCGTGCTAAAAGTTTGTCTGCCAAGTCGATTTGTTACTACATGATTGCAGGCATGACCAATGCTTTCTTATGTCTGCAATTCAACTGTTATTCTATTCAAAGACTGTTAATAATGTGCAAAATACTAGAAAGCATTTCTTGAACTTTTCTGAAAACTGTTTATAAAAATAATGCATGGATCAAAAAAAAAAAAAAAAAAAATTTAATGTGGAATCCTTAAAAGACGGGATGCAGAAGTTGCACTTCTACTTCTATTAGCTGGTATTCATGAAGACACACTCACTAATTTACAGGTACAACTGGAGGATTATTTTTGCTAACCGTAAGAGAAGAAAATTTTGCCCTCTGAGCCGTAGTGTATACAAAGAGCTCTAAAACAGTGTTTCACAGGTAAGACACAGGAGAGGGGTGGTCAAAGAAATAGATAGAATTGATTAATTTGTTTTGTTGAAAAAATACTGAACTATGATTAATCCTTTGACATTATTAACCCCCTTTAACAGTGATTGACCCTTATGATATATTAACGCTTTGTGGCACGGTGTGTCCGGTCTGAGCACACCTAAAAATTTTCTTCTGTAATGACAGAAAAATTGAATGTAAAAGGATTTATAGGTTACACTGAACCTTCTTTATTCATAGAAGATGGTAGCCCAATACAAACCATTCCATATATTTTAGCCATGTTTAGTTTTTAAAGACCCTCATTTTTCAAAGAAATCTTCCAGATTTTTTTAGGACATAAAAGGAATTGTTTGAAAAGAAATTTCTATGTTATTTTCTTGGCTGCATGCTAATCTCCTTATTCCATATTAATTTTAAATTTTTACCTTGGAATCTTGCCTAAAATCAAACAGCAAACATCAGGTGTGCCCAGAGTGGGCTCATTGAGAGACTAGAACAAGATCAACAACTGTGTCTTTGTTTTTCTGCAGCTCATCGGTTAGCTCATTTGCAGTTGAAAGGTCAGTCCACATCTGTGTTTCATTTCCTGTTTTTCTCTTTCTTCTTTTCTCTCTCTCTTTTTTTTTGGGGGGGGGAGGAGAGGTTGGTTATCAACTAAGAAATTGTTGGGGCGATTTTCTGAAGGTTGGGTAATTTTATCATTGAGCTGTTTGTTTTTTCACTTGAGCGGTTCTCTTTTGCTTTCGTTCAAAGAAGTTTTGTTAGCGCTATGCTTTGATAGTTTTGAGTTGCAGACGTTTATTTAATTTTATTTTATAATTTCTAATTGTAGGTATATCAGTTATTTTTTTTAATTTATTTTTAATTTTTTTTTCAAATGGATGACCAATTCAGAGAGGGCTGACCAATTCTGAAGCACTGAAAGTGTTACAGGAATTGCCTTCAGATAGTGAATCTGACACGGATCCCTGTACATGTGTAAAACATGCAACGTTGGATTGTACTTTTTCAAAGGTGGTGCTCTTTTTCTTTGAAAAATACCGCCATGAAAAAAATAGATGGATGTGTAACTATGAAATGTAAATAATGTAACTATCATATACCCAAGTTACTTTTTTTTCCATTTATATGCATGTAATCATCATATAACGAAAAAGAGCTTTTTTAGGGGGTGTAGAGTAGCAGGCCTTCCTATGGTACACCCTGGAAAATGCTAAATCTGCTATGGTATTCAGAATGTAGTGGTTTTTAATCATAGGCAAAATCTCTTACTCTTTACCCGCTTCCTAGCAATAATCGTTTCAGCACTCTGTTCGAAGCTCTGTTCATTTAGTGTGCCCGCTTCAATCACACCCACAGAATTAAAATAAGTGTTATCTTCACAAAGTTTTACCTGTATACTCTTCCAATCCTGATTAGATTGCCACCTACCTTTTTGGGGGGGTCGAAATTCCAACTTTGAAAGGTAGTGTGCCGGAAAGGGTTAAATAGCTGAACTACAAACAGCTTTGATAGCTACTATGATATTTTTGCATGAAAGAACCAGTCTTTTGCCAATTTGATTTTTATAAGTCGTGGATATAAGTTTAATAAATGGCAGTTTCTCTTCTGATTAGTATATATTTGTTTTGTCATACATCTGGAAATTTGAGTGTAATAAGCAGCTAATTTTGTTAAGCATTCAGTTTAATAAGCTCTGGGTACTGTATTACTAAAAATCTTTTCATAGGTCAGATAGTTGGAGTAAAATTTCAAGAATAGAGATTCTTTTCTCGCATGTTTATTTATCTTTTAACACATTTTGCTGTCAGTAAAATTGATATATTCATCCTTGGAAGCCAACTTATATAATAGTGTTTTAATGATTAAAAACATTCTTTATATTTTAGTAGTAAAAACAGAAAAACCTTTTATTTTCATTTTTAGTATAAAAATTTTTCCCGCACATGAGTATCAGTGGCACATCATGTTCAACTTATCATCCATGTGCCATTGATGCTCTAACATGTCTCATCATTTTTTTGTGAAATTATTGACGCATTGAATAAAGTCACAGTTTAAAAGAAATAAAAAGTAGAATTGGACAAAAAAGTCAAATTTATAAAAAAGATGTCAAAAAAATATTTTCAAATAACTAACACAAAATACAGATATTCGCATTGTTGAATTATTTCTACTATTTCAAAATGTTGCAGCAAAATAAAAATTATAAAAAGTACTCATATGCTTGCTTATTGAATGCTCAACTCTGAAGATTATAAAACATAACAAATATTATGTAATATATAATCAGCATAGAAAATCATAAAAAGAATTAAAAAAATTTTAAACTTATTACAAACAAAATGTCATTAGTGTAGAACAGTACTACGTCAATACATTATCACTTATGGTATATTTCACAGCAGTTCAAGCAATATCTTGATTTGTCTGGACAGTCGCAGCACTCATACATGGTGTCCGTACGTTTGCCTTGAGAGGAACAAGATTTAATTGTATTATAGTTGATGACTGGCAAAGGCTTCTGCTTTATTTCATTTCTTTTATTTAAAATCTCAACCCTTTCATTTTTGTACTCTGTAGAAATAACACACTTCATGTTTATCTGATCATTACTTCCTGACAATACCATTCAACTTCATCGCCCTTTCACAATTTAGTAGTTTGAACAACATCTTTTGGAGTGTTTTTGTGAGTGGTTCTCAATGTATCTGTGCAGTGTGTCTTTTTATCTAACAGTAACTAGGCCAAGTCAAAGTTGTTATAATAATTGTCCATGAAAACATGGTGACCAACATTTAATTTTTCATTCAGTGAATGCAAACTGTTTTTTGTGTTTGGCTTTGTCCTCCATAGTCGTCTAATAAACCAGTACACATGACAATTTTTTGCACTATTCCACTTGATGTACTCAAAATACATAATCTTATATAACAAACTTGTGTTTTTTATTATTTATGTATTGGCGAAATAATAATCAACCTCACCACAGAACCATAGATTCATCCCAAAAAAAGTTCTCTAGTAGGATAATATATCTCACACATTCTTTCATTAAAAAATCAATTTTAGCACATATTTTATATTTCTCCAGGTCCATTATTTTTTGCAAAATGCAACCGATTTCGGCTAATGGTATTTGCAATGCCTGCATTATGGAGTAATGGGTCCTTCTTCCTGTAATCCTGACGTTTATTGATTTTTATGTTCCCCATTTGCAAGAATGCTCCCAGAAAAACTAAAAATTTATCCACTTTTAAATCTTTTCAAAAAGTTATTCATGACTTTTCTTTTCTTTTATTAATGCATTGTATTTCCAGTGTGTAACAATTTATCTCTTTGACTGTTTTTTCAAGAAATCCTTCAGTTAGGAAAAGATGAAAATATTCATTTGGCTGTATTAGTAAGGATTCAGTTTTCGTAAATGTATGACTTTCATACAACTTGAATCCATTTTCCAGTCAACAAGACTGTTCTTTCTGATTGCTGGAAATTATTCACGTGCATTTTCTGTGTCAGAATCCTACATTTCTATAGTGTCCATCGCAACATTACTATCTCCTTCCGATTTGCTCATAGAATCCCAATCGTAATCTTCATCATATGTGCTGTCATAATCTGAAACAGCATTCTTTTCTAGGGATTCTGATAGTTCAGCTTCATTCATTTTTTATTTACTTTCCTTTTCTTAGGCTGTGAAGGCCCTACAATACATGTACTGTCTGCCATTTTTAAAAATGGACATAAAAAAATTGAAGCACAAAATTTAAAAACCTAAACTATAAAAATAATGCTTCATAAACATGCCTCTTCCTCAAAACCTCTTCAATCAACCTCCAAAGCTGAGCTAAAAATAAAGCATATAACTTATAGTTAATCGTCGTCAGCATATGAGGTAACGCCATACTGCCGCGGCAGTGCACGAGTGTCAGCGAATGTGTTAAAAAATGAAATCATAAAATAAATAATCTATTACTTTTAGTTAATTATTCATTTTTTGATGGTGGCATTAAAATTGTTTGTAGTTTTAATCATATCTTATTTGTGCCATTTTATTGCACATTGAGGGTTAAAAATAACATTATAGTGGCCCCATCTAAACAATGACTAATTAATTAAAAGCAGTAGATTACATACTACATGATTACTGAATAATCTATATTAAGATATCATTTCAGATTTGGAAGAAAGCTTTTATACATCACTTGAAATGTTTCCTGAAACATGTTGTTCTAATCTGGTTCACAATTTTTATCCAGGCTTTAGCTTCCAGGTATGATTTTATTATTATGTTTCTACAAATATTCCATGTATATTCCATGTATATAGTACATATTAAAATCATGTGAATCATCAAAAAATACTTTTTCTCTGTATCTTAAGAATTATGTAAAAATACTTAACATTTTTGCTTCCATAGATAGACAAAGCATATGAAAAATGCTTATTCGTTGTTCAAATGTTTAAAATTTTACTTTTGCTCTTTTTACATTTTGAAGTTTGTAGTAAATAGAAATAATGTATGTGTTTTTTATCAGCTTTTTGCTTTTAGATTGTTGGTTGGTTGAATAATTAAAGCAAAGCACAAGAAACAAACAAAACACAAAGTTTTTCTACTTAAGAAAAAGAATGCCTTTGTGGAGGACTTTCGAAAGAAAACTAGCTTGTATTTAGTTACATGTGAGAAAAGCCACAAAAATGTCCATGTGACAATCCATTCACCAGGATTTGAGCCTAGATTAATATACTGATGTCAAATGTTCATAGTAATTTGGCCGCTTATGGACAAAATGTAAATTTTAAGAGTGATTAAAAATTTGAATATCTGCCTTTGGCATTTTTGTCTAGATTGAAATCTTGCAGTCATTCCTGGCATAATGAAGCCTCAATTACATCTCTAAATTATGAAGTTTTCTGACTTGCAGTTTACTATGTTTGATGTATTTACATTGTTGAAATAACTGCTTGACTGCTGTTACATTTTTACCTCTCATTAACCTATATATATTGGGAAAGGAGGTAATATTTTTTATCTAAAATTTTGGTAGTGAGTTTTTAATTAGTAAGCATAAATTAGGTTCCCCACAACGTGTTTTCTTTTTTTTTTTTTTTTTTTTTTTAAAGATGTCTGTGAGGATATGTGTGACAATCTTTTCATCAGTGATAATTTCTGTATCAAGTTTTCAAACATTTCTCTTTTTTGTATTTAACCCTTTTTGCGACAGGTGTTTCTGTCACCAAACCACTCTCTTAACCTTTTAACTGTCATGCCCGAGATAATCTCGGGCACAGCACTGGTGTTCGAAAATGTCACGCCCGAGTATTATTCGAGGTAATTTTTTTTTTGAGTGCATCGTATTGTTATACCCGAATATATATCGGGAGACGTTTATTTCGGCTTCATCTCTTTGTCAAACCCGACTGTATCTCGGGAAAAGTTAAGACAATTTGTGTACCCAAATCATCAAAATAACTTGACAGTTAAAGGGTTAAGATGGCACATTAACAGGATGCACTATCTTGTTAGGATGGGTAATTTGTGCTGCTAAGCCCAACTTTGGAAAAAAAATAGCATAAATTAATTTTATGGTCCATTGTTCCAATTTTTGGCACACTATGAAAAGAACACCCAGGTGTTCGTTTTAAAAAATATCTTATTTTGAAGTTAATGTCATAAAGAGAAAATTTTGCATAGCCTAGCCAAAAAATCTGAAAAAACCCTGTAAAACTATGTTGTTGTACCTCTCACATACAGCGAGGATAAGTCTGGCAACAGCTGCAGGAAGAAAAAACTTGGCAGTGCTGGAATGGCAACAGCGGATGATATTCTATAGATTTTAATATTTTGATTTTGAGTCGACGTTTTCCTTTGCGATATACTATTGCGTTAAAACATTTGAGTTTTGGGTGAATGAAATGGAATCCGCTGTCCCGCTGCGGATATTAGTAAAATATATTTAGAAAATTAGCTGCGTTGGAAAGGATGAAACCTTGTGTTTGAATTTGCGGTATTTTTCCTCCTAAAGTTGCGTCGAGTTCAGAATATTATGCCAGGCTTATTCACGCTGGTGCAGATAAGTTCAAATTTTGTTATTGTGTTTATAGTGTATAACTTGCAAATATATGAATAGAATTCTATTAAATAAACATTTAAAATTCTGGAATGGTGTTTTAAAATTTTAGATGTAGAGTATTCATTGCTATGTGGCAGTCAGGTGTAAAGTAAAATTGTTTTTGCTCCACGACATAACAAAATGGCGAGCCAGCCAGGATTGCGATCCTGATTCGAATGTGTTGGGATTATTATATTAATATAGTTGAGAAAGTATTGTGTTTGCTATATTATATTATTGTAGAAGTAAATATTAATTTAAGTGTTATTTGGAAACGTAATGCGTTTTAATTGTCTGCAATGTTGAATTTCGTATTTGTATTCGAATTAGTTTCAATTTTCAATCGAAATGCTATGCGTTAAATCGTCTGCAGTGTAAACGTAGAAAAGGTTATGCGTTAAATCTTCTGCTGTGATATTCAAAATAATTTTTTGTTTTGCTGTATTATGAATGTTATGACATATTGTTATTCATTTTTATTATATTGAGTTATATTTTTGGAATTGCTGAGTAAAGACGTTTTTGAGGATTTGTCGGATTGATGATAACATTACAGATTTTGAGTTTTAAGTGGGTCTGCATTTAAAGATAAAATGGATGTTGATATGTTGAAGAAAAAGCGTGCAACGGCACGCAGTGCCTTTACTAGGACGGCTAAGATTCTAAAAACCGAACTTTGTAAAGATGTTCAAGCGGATAGAGATGTATTGAAAGACAAAATTTTGAAGTTGCAGATGATAATTGCTGAGTTGAGATCTTGCGATTCAGAAATACTAGATTCAATGATTAAGGGAAAAGCCGCTGAAGATGATCTGGAAACAGAGGTCATAGGCTGCGAAGAATATTCAGATGAGTTTATCACGCTTAATCGTCGGGTGAAAGAGAATATAGATAATGCGGTTGACCGTAGTGTCAATACGAGTTCTAACACGGATAGTAGCATAAGTGCTTCTAATGAAAAACGGTACAAGTTGCCGAAAATTCAAATTAAAAAATTCGATGGACAATTATTAAGTTACCTTACATTTTGGGGTCAATTTAAAAAGATCCATGAGGATAAGGAGCTTAATGACGTTGACAAATTCCATTATTTAGCTCAATCAATGTTACCCGGAACTCGGGCTAGTGAGTTGATAGATAGTTATCCTTTAACGGCTGAAAATTACCCGAAAGCCATTTCTGCGTTTGAGGAGCGTTTTGGAAACAAGGAAATTTTAACTGAGATATATGTGAGGGAATTGTTAAAATTAATTATCCAAAATGTACGCTCACAAGGGAAGGATCGGTTGCCGCTAGTGTCACTGTTTGACAAAATCGAATCCCATCTCAGATCTCTAGAGTCTTTAGGCTTAGCCCTGGATACTAATGTTTCCTGGTTATATCCCATGGTCGAGTCTTGTCTGTCTGCTGAGATGCTTCGAGTATGGCAGAGAAGCGTTTTGTTCAGTAAAGAAGGATCACGTCTCACAAATCTCCTGGAATTTTTGCGTAAAGAGGTCGAAGGAGAGCAGAGAGTTAAACTAGCCAGGTCTGGATTTGAAATTTCTTCTACTTCGCGCAATGAACATTCTAAAGATGTAAAAGTTAAGACCAAAAAACCAATCGCTAGCGCAGCAAGTCTAGTTGCTGTCAAAGAACAAAAATGTGTTTTTTGCGGAAAATCTCACGAAAGCAAAGAATGTTTTACAGCTCGATCGATGAGCTTAAAGGAAAGATTAGACAAATTAAGAGAATTAAAATGCTGCCTCCGCTGTCTTAAACCAGGGCATTTTGCGAAGAAGTGTCCACAGTTTATTCAATGCTATTTGTGTAGGCGATCTCACCCTATAATTTTATGCCCGGAGGTATCAGAAAACAATGCTGACAATAAGGAAAAACGAAACGAGTCAGTAATGGTACAAAGTACAATGTCCTCTCCCTTATGTATGAATGAAGTCACTCTTATGACGTTAATGGTTGAAATAGTTGTAGGCACTGTAAAGAAGGTGGTCAGGTGCCTCTTGGATTGTGGATCCCAACGATCTTACGTTTTACAATCCACAGCTGAAGCTTTAAATCTGAAAAGCACTTCCTCTGAAACTTTAACTCACGCGTTATTTGGCGGAACAAGGACTGAGTCAAAAATTCACAAGAGATATTCTATAGGTCTAAGCCCGGTTGGGAAAAACAAAGTGTACCAATTTAGTTTTCTGGATCAAAATACCATTTGTGGAGGCATACCACGCATACCTAAAGGACCGTTATTGAAGGAATTAAAAAGACACAGAATTTGGATTTCAGATGTCGGTGAGGGTCACCCGGAAATAGAAATCCTCATAGGGAGTGATATTTATGGGCAAATACTTACTGGTGAAGTAATTCAGCTTGAGGGTGGTTTGACAGCCATAAATACTAAACTGGGATGGACGCTGTGCGGGGAATCGAAAGGAACGATTATCCAAAGTTTTGAGGGTACCCCATCTATGTTAGTAACTAATCTTCTTATTCAAGACATGGAACCTTCCTTTATGTGGAAGTTAGAAACTATCGGCATTGCAGATGATGCGCAAAGCATTTCCAGGGTCGCAGAAGATCAAGCAGCGAAAGAGCAGTTTCTTAGGGGCCTTCGCAGAACCGGAGATGGTAGATATTGCGAGATATTGCGTGAGTTTACCTTGGGCTCTAAAATTCCCTCCTGATATTCCCTCTAACTGGCATATTGCAGAAAAGAGGCTCTTTGCTACTACGAGAAAATTGAGAAAATTAAATAAATTTGATGAGTATAGTACAGTATTTAACGAATGGCTAGCGGAAGATGTCATAGAAATTGTCCCAAAATCAGTAAAGAATGACGGAGGGCATTATTTACCACACCATCCAGTAATAAAATTAGGTAGCCTCACTACCAAGATTAGGCCTGTATTCGATGCGTCGAGCAAAGTCGTTGGTTCGCTTTCGCTAAATGATTGCTTGATAAAAGGTCCAAACCTTGTAGAAGAAATCTCAGCCATTCTAATGCGGCTTAGGGAAAAGGCAATTGTTTTAACATCTGATATCAGGCGGGCCTTTTTACAGATTGACGTACAGCGTGAGGATCAAAATTACTTAAAGTTTTTGTGGTGGTCAAATAATAGAATTGAAGTGTTTCGTCACAAGAGAGTTGTTTTTGGGTTAACTAGTA